ATTCAGAAGCATGAAGTTATATATCTCAAGGATGCTGAAAAGTCCTCGGCTTGACTAAGAAATCCTTCAATAAATAATTAAATATATGAAAATACAACAGAATCTGTGGATGTGCATGTCGTATAATGGATTGTGGTTCGAAATCGAGGAGCAGAGTTCGAGTTCCACCTGATTTGGTTTACATTCACTTATCCGCAAAAATCTTTGTGCAGTGTATGACTTCATCTCTTTCTCCCCAGCTATCGGTTAATTAGTGGGATAAACTGAGTTCTATAGCCTTGGTTGGCAGCCATTCTAGGGATTCAAAAAAATTGATAAAAATCACCTATCTCCCAGTAAACCTTGGTGACCCGTGAAACGGACCATGAAAACGCACTGTGACTGATATCCACCAATTGGGTGAGTTAGGCATTTTGCCATAGGCGGAGAATGGATTTACGTTTTTTTTTTTTTTTTAAATTGGGTCATTTTGGTTTAAAGTCTGGAATGTCGGTCATACCGAAAACTTTCCAGAAAGCTCTAGTGTATGAATGACTATTTTCATATCTATGGGTTACACAGCTACGCATACACATACGCAAATACATTCGAACACGTACCTACATGCCATATTAAACAAAATGTACATACGCCACTCCATATGTATTAATATTCAACCGCACACAGTCACCCACCCATATAGACACATTCCCGCGCACACACATATATTTATATAAAATGTGGGTTTTTGCAATAATGGTTTGAAGTCAGCGGAAATATTTATACTGAATATTTCTGTTGATTAAAAATCACAGATTCATTTCTCAGCATGGTTTTCTACAAGATGTCCAAACTGAATTTTTATGCTAAATTCACTTACCTGTGTGCCCATGGCTCAAAAGATTTATTTCACACCAAGCAAGGTGTTACTGCCACAAAGACACAAAGGGTTACTAGTAGCGGAAGAGAATGAGGCAACTTTAGTGAGGAGAAAGGAAGGACAATAAAAGAAGATGGGTCGGGAAGACAAAAGATAGTGATCGACGTTGCATTAAAATCTTTGGGTATTGTAGGTGGCAGGGGACCAAGAAATCACAAGAGAGTACCACAGGTGAGAAATGCGAGAAATGAAACTATTAGAATAGAACTTAAGGTTATATCTAGTCGTTTCAATTATGCATAAGTCTTTAATTGTGTATATAGTATTACATAGTATTTGTATTTATATATTGGATTAATACAAATATAAAACTTGTCAGCTGATTGATTCAGCACTTCAAGGCTTCGTAGACAAAGATTTGTGCAATTGTTCAGTCCACTCCTCAGGAGATATTACGGTAAATTACCATAACACACCCCTCCTAAGGAGTCTCAATATTTTTCTTTTTTTCTTTGTGTTAACGACGATTAAGTCCGTCATTTTCCTTTACCACTTTAAACGGCATTGCTCCGGGGCCGCCTGAGGTATTGGCATGTCAAAAGTATCGTAAATGACATCCATGACTTCTTTTTCTTCATTAGGACTGCTGTCTGAGTGCTGGAAATTTCCCTCTCCAAAAGGCAGTACCTGCTCCTATTTATAGCTGGGAGAGTCCATGCGTGCGTGGATAAATTACCATAACAGTACCATAGAGGAAAGTTTATCAAAACAATTACAATGAAAGTATTTATAGTAAAGGTACAGGGAAGATACATTACAGCTGTGGGAAAGTGCCTGAAGCTGAAACTGAAATGCCAGGTCAGGACGTATAACATTGTAGATTCTTTGAATTTTAACAAGAATATCTAAATTTATAGCAGGACCACTAGACCAGATGTGGCAGCAATATTCAAAGCAAGGACAAATGATAGACTTATAAACATGTAAGATAGATTCTATCGAGAAAAATTCTCCAGCAAGACACAGGGAATTAATTTTCCTCGGAGAAGAACCAGCAATTGATTGAATTTAATCGATCCGCTTCATGTTAGAGGAAAACTTTAGTCCGAGAACCTTCTGGAGGTTAGCATCAGCAATGCTGATGAAAGGTAAAATTGGTTCTCTTATAGGATTAAAAGAGAGCGGTTTCTTTAAAGTTAAGAAGTCATTTCCTGGTGCAGAATGGCAACAGAATGTAGGGCTTTTTTAGATCACTTTTCGAGTTTACCTTACACAGTATATATATATATATATATATATATATATATATATATATATATATATAGTTTATTTACGTTATTTTTGTTGATATAATGTATTTAGGTAAAGGCTCTGTTTTTAATTAAACAGTATTAATTACATTGTATCTTTAAAAATAATGTATAAATAGAAAATATATTAAATAATTTTCGGATTTAATACAATTTTATTATATGTTGTCATTGTTTACATTAAAATACATTTAGTGAACAGAAATGATCGATCGATCAAAATCGTCAAAGATTGTGTTTATTTAACAGTAATTAAGAATTTGCTAACCAGATGTTCCTCTGTAGCTGAATAGTACAGCACGCCAGATCAAATGACAATTTATGTACAGAAATACAGGTTCGATTCCTGTTGGAGAACACATATTTTCTATGAAATTTCGCGAACATGTGTTATGTGTGTGTGTGTGAGAGAGAGAGAGAGTTACTAAAAATTGAATGAGATATTTCTGAGATGAGGTATTGTAACTATTTACACTATTTACATTGTTTGAACTATTGTTCTTATCTAAAGGGTTCAATTCGAAATTCCAATCACCTGAAGAAGGCTGGAGCGTAAAACGGCCGAAACGTCGTGAATATGACAACAAAGATGAGGACAACAGTCCGAACAATGTAAATAGTGTAAATACATCAAATAAGAGGAAGCTATTTGACTTGAACGTCTAGTGGGACTCAAGCTCTCCCCAAACCTCAACTGGAAATCATTTATCCGATCTATTGCTAAAGATGCTGGAAAAAATGCTTTACAAGAGCCAGATCGGACCCAAAATAGAGCATTGCAGCCGTATTTGGTTGTGACTAGCGAAGGTTTGGGGTCTGATCGGCAGTGATGGGATGTAATCAGATTTATCGTCTATTGGGACTCAAGATCTCGCCAAACCTCGAGCGGAACTCATATATCCGATCTGTTGCTAAAGATGCTGGAAAAATGGCCGCTCCAGTAAGTATCTGACACACCATATTGTACTCTATTTCATAAGAACCGGATCAGACAAAAATGGAGTATTACTTCAATATCTAAGCTGGGGCTGTCCAATCATCCCTTACCTGCTCTGGAAGAGTTGAAAAACGTATACGTGGAATTATGGGCGATGAATTATGCTTGAACCTACAATCCTTTTCCCACAGACAAAACGTCCTGTGCCTGCCGGTGCTCTATCGTTATATCCATGGCATGTGTTTTGACGTGTTACATCCATTAGTCTCACCACTCCTGACCTTTAGAACTAGTGCCCTCCATGCCACTTCCACAAGCGTGAATCATCCCCTTTCTCTTCGTATTCAATAGTAAGAACTAAGTTCCACTCGGACAGCTTTTTCCCAAGGACTGAAGAAATCAATATTATTTTGACCTCCTCAAGTCTAGGGTTAACCGTTATCTGTTCTGCCTAATCCTGGGAATTTTACTCTCTGTTTTTCGTACACTCATACAACACCACATAGTAACGCTCTATATTGAGCTGATCTTGGATCTTGTATTGTGGCGACATTAGTATAAACAGATTAAAATCATTAAATACAGCATATTGTGAGATTATTACATATTCACGATACATCCGGAAAGTAAGGCTTCTAATTGGGAGATTGAGGGTTTTTGGAACCATCTCTTAACTGCTGTCGTTCCCAGGTACACTCTACCCTGGGGTGGTAACACATCGTTAGGGACCCAGATAGTGAACCTCCAAATAAAAATCAACAATACGTTTTTCTAATAAAATGACTAACAATAACATTTTTTATAGTAAAATGACAATCAATATAACATTTAAAAAAAATACATTTTTGTAGTGAAATTACCAGCAATACATTTTATTTTTCAAAAACTATATATCTTAAAAAAAAAAAAAAAAAAAGGTATGAAATGAAAGTATAAAATTATGTACAAAATATTTATAGTTGAAGCCCAAAATTTCGTACAAAATATTTAGAGATTGATATGCCGCTAAACAAAATTAACAAAATTAACTAACCAACAATATTACACATGTCTATTTCGTTGCTAGCATATTCATATACTAGTACAAAACCCCGGCTCTGAAAAATCTGGAATGTACACGTGATGATTGAGAACAGCTTTAAATGTCCGTTGGAAACAAAATATGCCCGATGAAGATCTATATGGGAGCGTACCAAAGATTCTGGACAAAATAAATAGACAGACGAGCGCGTTTTAGTGGCCATTACTGGAGAATTATTTACATTATTCGGACTATTGTCCTCATGTTTGTCGCCATATTTATTACAACATTTTCAGCCGTTGTTCCGGCCTTCCTCAGGTGGTGAATGTCGAACTGAACCTTTATTTTGCTCGCTGGGGTAGACTGTTCTAGTTCCACGTGCCATGTTTAATGGATGCCAGTTATCGTTATCTCCTGTTAATTTCCCTCTGAAAGTTCTTGACTGCCTTAGCCTTAGTTCTTAGTGGAAAACATTCATAGGGAAAATTAACAGGAGATAAGTAATAACTGACATCCATTAAACATGGCACGTGGAACTAGAACAGTCTACCCCAGTGAGCGAAATAAAGGGTTCGGTTCGACATTCCAACCACATGAAGAAGGCCGGAGCCTACAACGGCCGAAACGTTGTAATAAATATGGCGACAAAGATGAGGACAATAGTCCGAATAATATAAAGAATGTACATAATACCTCATCTCAGAAATATAGACATTACTGGAGAAGTAAACAAGGAGTTGCGCATCAGCTTATACCGTTGGATCCAAGTTATGGGAAAAGATCAAGAGGTAGACCAGTAAAAGGTTTCATCGATCAACTCGTAGAATCATCACTGGGATCATAAAGGAAGAATTGGGCAGAACTGTGGATAACAGAATGGTTGTAAGTGGTAAGAATATTCGTTTGAGGATGATCAGATAGATAGATAGATAGATAGATAGATAGATAGATAGATAGATAGATAGATAGATAGATAGGAAGAGGGAATGAAATGAGTATATCAAAACGATAGAGAAGGAAAAATAAAATGCGAAACGAGTCATATATGGAAAAAGGTTTGAAGGAGTTGCTCAGGGGGAAAAGTTAAAAACATGCAAAAAGTAGTTTAAGCGGATGAAGAAGAAGAAGAAGAAGAAGAAGAAGAAGAAGAAGAAGAAGAAGAAGAAGAAGAAGAAGAAGAAGAAGAAGTAAAGGAGGTTAGCAAAAGCAACAATCAAGTGAAAAAATTGGTTTACGTGGATGATGATGATGATGATGATGATGATGATGATGATGATGAAGCAGGGGTGAAGAGGCGGAAGACGTAAATGAAGCCAAATGGAATAAGGTGGGGGTTAAGAGGATGGTGATTGTGATGATGTTGATGTTGATGAAGAAGGGATAGTACCGCAACTGACAGAAGAAGAAGAAGAAGAAAAAGAAGAAAAAGAAGAAGATGACGAAGAAGAAGAAGATGACGAAGAAGAAGTTGAATCTGCTGCTGCTGTTGCTTCTTCTGTTGCTGCTGATGATGACGATGAATGAGAAGAAGAAGGCACAAGAGTAGAGTGAGGATGATATCAACAACAAATTTCCAGTGAAAGAAGAGTATTAGTAGACGATGATATCAATGAAGAAGAAGAAGAAGAAGAAGAAGGAGAAGAAGAAGAAGAAGAAGAAGAGAGAAAGATGGAGGTGGAAAAAAAGATAGCAATAACAATAATATTCTGCTTAGAAACGGAAGATGTTAATGAAACCAAATAGGTAAATCTGGTGTAGTTAAGAGGATGAAGAACAAACCTCAGCAGTAGCAGAAGATAAAGAAAGAGAAACACAAGAAGAATATGTGGAGGAGAAAAATGATATTAACAAAAAGAAAAAAAAAAGAAAGAACAAATCTATTTTGGCTAGAAATGGAAGACCTAAAAGAATCCACACGGAAGAAGAAGAAGAAGAAGAAGAAGAAGAAGAAGAAGAAGAAGAAAAAAAGAAGAAGAAGAAGCAAGAAAAAGAAGAAGCAAACAAAAAAAAAGAAAGAAGAGGAGGAAGCTTTCGATCACCTTGTACTGACACACCTTCTAGCTTATTTTGAGTAAAAATTCAACTCATGCCTCAGAGCTGAGAGTCAAGGATGAAAACTAAAAATGGTTAGAAGATTTTCAAGTGCTTCGAATTGACTTTACCAGTGTGCTGTTGTCAATGGAACCTTAACTTGTCTATGACTCGCCCAGGTTAGAAATAAAATATCATCCTTTTCCCTCTAACTTTGTTCTTCGTTTCTATCTGTTTTTTTTTTTGACTGGCTAATGCTAAATATTTTATTTCAATTGTTTTAATTCACTATTCCCATACGAGTTTCCACCATTATATATATATATATATATATATATATATATATATATATATATATATATATATATATATATATTTAGTTAGTTTCTCTTTGCAAAAGAGGAAAACAAGAAAAAGAAGGATCTGGAAAAACAGATAGAAAGAGAACAAAGAGCTGATGAAAAAGGTTAAAGAATTAGAGGCGGCAAAAATGAAAGAGAAAGATGACAAGCAACAGTTGAACAAGAAGAAGAAAAAGGTAAAGAAGAAGTAGAATCAGCATTAGAAGAAGAGCAACAACGAGAAGGAAGAGGAGGAGGATTCAGAGAACAAGGAAAACTGGATGATGATGAGGAGAACAAGATTTCGAGGAGTCAGAGAAGAAAAAGAAGGCGCAGAGAAGAAGGAGGAGGATGAGGGGGAGGAGGAAGAAAAAGAAAAAAGGATCGAATGTGGAAAAGAAGAACAGCAACAATAACAAAAACAACAATCAAACGGATAAAAAAGGATGGTGATGATGATGAAGTAGAAAAAGCAGGATAACGAGAAAAAGAACAACAACAAATATAATTTGTTAAGATAGAGAAGACAAAAAAAGAAAGCAAACGGAAAAGAAGAAGAAGAAGAAGAAGAAGAAGAAGAAGAAGAAGAAGAAAAAGGAGGAGGAGGGGGAGGAAGAGAAGAAGAAGAAGAAGGGAGGAGGAAGGGGGGAAGAGAAGAAGAAGAAGGGGGAGGAGTAGAAAGAGAAGAAGAAGAAGAAGATGAAGAGGGGGAGTAGGAGGGGGAGGAAGAGAAGAAGAAGAAGAAGAAGAAGAAGGTAAAAAAGAAGGAGAAGGAAAAGAATGGAAAAGAACCAATAGTAAGAAATAGGAAAACGAAGAAGATAAGAACAAGGAGAAAAGGATGAGGAGGAGGGAGGAGGAGGAGGAGGAGGAGGAGGAGGAGAAGAACAAAAGGTTGAGGAGAAAGAGAAAGTAAAGAAGACGTGGAGTAGGAAGAAGAGATGCAGAGATGGAAAAGGAAGATAGCAACAATAATAAAAATCCAAATCAAATAGAAAAAAAGGTTTAAACGGATGATAGAAGAAGAAGAAGAAGAAGAAGAAGAAGAAGAAGAAGAAGAAGAAGAAGAAGAAGATGTATAGGAGATAAAGCAGGGTAACAAGAAAAAGAGCAAAAAAAAAAAAATATATATTTTGGTTAGAGACGGAAAATGTAAAAGTAACGAAACTGAAAAAAGCGCTCGAAGAAGAAGAAAAGGAAAAACAGAAACAGCAAAAACACCTGCATCTTGTTAAGATGAATTTCTAATGTTGTGACGATTTTATTCCAGAGCTTTACGGGAATTTCTTCTTCCCTGACACCACACAGGGAGCTAATTTTTGCTCAGATGCTGCCAGCAAGAGCAAGAATCTTCAAAAGATACGCAAGTGTGAAGCAAAAAGGCAAATAGAAAAAAAAAGAAATTAACACAAGATATACACACGTGTTTTTAGTCGCCAAGAAGAAGACGCAGTTTATTGACGCTTTAATAAATTAATCTTGTAAGTAATTATATATGTATATATATATATATATATATATATATATATATATATATATATATGTGTGTGTGTGTGTGTGTGACTATATGAACGTATGTATGTGTTCCAAGTTGAAGGCCATAATGGTTCTCCGAGGAAGCTGAAAATTAGCATGAAGGTACATCTTTTGAAGGCGAAGGTCACAGGATATTTTTTTTGCTGTGTAATTTGGATGAGTCAAAGGCATTTTTTCAAATTTTTAATCAATTTTTGTATACCTAAAAAAAAAAAAAATCATTAATAAAAATTTAAAAGGATTTATTTTGCAAGTTAATTTAATTATAATCATTTTCCAGGAAAGAATCAATATTAAGAGGCTAGTTTTTCGAAGTGTTGATTTATCGTGTACACTCATACCCTGGCTCGGGCCGCCTTTACTAAGCAGAAGACAAAACTCAAATAGGTTTAATAAATACGAGGACTAGTACTAATAAAAAATTAAAGGTAATTTTTTGTTATAATTATTTCAACCATTTTCACTAAAGAGAAAGTTTTAAGCGGATGATGATGATGATGATGATGATGATGATGATGATAAAGAAGAAGAAGAAGAAGAAGAAGAAGAAGATGTGTAGGAGAGAAAGTAGGATAAGAAGAAAATGTTATGTGGAGTATGCCCCAAATTTCTCTGTTTCAAAATTCAAAATAAGTTCTCATGCAATTCAAAGAACTTAATATATATTATAACTTAATATATATATTACATAAATTATATTATACTTAATGATGGACTCTCCCGTCGGTTTCGACGTATGAGGTTCCTACAACTTTGTTTATTTGACCCTGTGTGTGAGTCGCAAGTGACATTTCAGTCCTGCTAGTGATTTACAAAGAAGTCCACAGATTGTGCAAGAGTGAGGATACTTGGAGTATATGGCTGGAACAGCAGCAGATATTTTATTCCTTTCCCTAGTTTGATGAAGCTTAACAATGTTTGATGCTGCCTTGTTCTTGATGCCATTGTAGCATGTAGTCTTCCATTCATTACGTCCCGGCGCATACATACATACGTTTAGCCGGGACGTATACTTTATATATATATATATATATATATATATATATATATATATATATATATATATATATATATATATATATATATATATATATATATATATATATATATATATATAGTATTCTAATCTGAACACCCATGAAAAATCTTTAAATTTACAAATAGAAAAAAAATGCCGTAAGAATTTTTTTGCCGTTAACAATAAATTTAAAAAATCCAGACGACATGCATTCAACGGATGTCAGTTTTTTTTTTGAAAAATACATCCCTACCCCTTACCAAAATGTAGCTAATAACCGATACAATGATACAGACATAAGGAAAACCCAGACAACCCTGGTCCAATTGAAGTAGATTCATCTGTAACCATGGAAACGTGATTTTAGCTGTGTCTTTAAACCCCAGTAATTTTAAAAGTTACTCCAAAATTCACTTGAGGATGAAATGGAACTAATGTCTTTAATTTAATTGCAAAATTAAATTCGTGGCTTTTAGCTTCCATTTTTGAAACATGATTAGAACTGTGTAGCGGAAAAAAACATATTTTAAATCAATTAATTTATAATATATATATTATATAAATTATATTATACTTAATATATATATATATATATATATATATATATATATATATATATATATATAACTTAATATATATTATAACATGCAAACGTTGCCATGAATACTACATCAATAAAACTAGCTGAATACTCTGATATTTCTATCTTATAAACTAAAACTGGTGAATCATCAATCGTAAGTGAGCGATAATTTATATCTTGTCGTACCTGAAATGACGTATTTTTTGGTTCGTTGTTGATCCGGTCGTCTAACGAAGCAACCTCTTTACTAATAGAAATAGGGAAAAATTGATTTTTATACTTTGGAGAAAAATATTTTCTATAATTAAAATATAGAAGTCTTAGTATAATTTTCTCACTGGTGATAGCTTTATTAACGCGCACAGTTGCGTCTCATACAATTACTGTTTATATTATTACCAAACACTATTCCTTGTAATATTATCATTGCTGACAATGTTATTAATACTGTTACGTATAATATTATTACTGCTGACAGTGTTATTAACACACATTATTGCGTGCAATATTATCACTACTGACAGAATTATTAGCGAATAATGGATAACCCAAATGGAAAACCTCTTATAAAAATACCCAAACATAAAAAGTAAAGGACGACCAAAGTCACTAAAAAAAATTCACCGCAATTAAAGAACCTCACGTCAAAAGATACAACAGACCCCACTACGGGGTACGCAGCTCCCTGTTAGAAGGCCACGAATTTCACTTCAAAGACGGGCCCAAATTCAAAATTCAAAATAACTTTTCATGCAAGTCAAAGAACTTAATATATAACATAAAACCTGTCCACAAACACTACATTAGTCAAACTGGCCGGATACTCCGACATAAAATGACAGTATATCGTCAACAAATTAGGCAAACGCACGATAGAAAAATCACTCGTAGCCAAAATATAGAGGAATGCAGAGGACAAAATATGCCAAACTTCAATATCTATCCATTCTCTCAATTTTAACTAAAACATGATTTTATCACTTTGTTTGGAGTGAAATGACGAAAAGCAAGTTTTATTAAAGAGTATATACCTTCCGGTAGAAATCAAACTTAGATTTCCTTTATCTAGGGAGACCAGTATAGTTTGGTGCGTCATTATCTTTTCGGGCCCGTAAACCAATGTAAAACGTTAAACAACACACCTAGCTAAGGTGTTTTCTCAGATGTTTCCAAAAAGCTGACCTAATACCAAAGAATCCATTGTTGATCTTGCCAACAATTTTCAACATCGTCACGTTTATACAAATGGAGGCAATCTTTTAACTTTTATTTTAATCTTTTTATTTTAATCTTTTACCTGTTACAGTCTGCACAAGACTTCAGATTGGTTTAGAGGTTCATCTTCCAGCATGATAACGAATCTAAGCACAAAGGCAGAGCTACAATGCAGTACTTCAGATTAAAGCATATTTGTGTATTAGAATAGCACAGTCAAAGCCCAAACCTAAGTCTAACTGAGAATCCGTAACAAGAGTTGAAAGTCGGTGTTCACAGATCATCTGCATCTCACTTAACTGAGCGTGAGGTGTTTTGCTAAGAAGAACGGGTAAAATTTTCAGTTTCTAGATGTGCAATGCTGGTAAAGATATATCCCAGACTTGGAACTATAATTGCTGCAAAATCTGCGTGGGCGTGCGGTGGATACTTACGCATTCATGAAATGACAGCTTTGTTGTCTTAATTATTGTTTGTGTTAGAGTAAAATGTCTTTTGCTTACAGTGCATTTTGTGTCTCAAAGCACTGTGCATTTTGTGTTTATTAAATAAATGCCACACACACGTACACACACGCATATATCTATATGAGAATGAACGTTAATGTATATTTGGGCAGCAACATTTCTTTTAAACCTATTTCGTTAGATATATTGGAGAATGAAAATTTTATCAATTTATTATTTATTTTTTTCCAGCGTTCTTAATTTTTCTTTCGTATAGCTAAGGAAGTGAATGACAGCGCTTTGAACAATGCACAGTATGGACAGTTTTTCTACTTCCTCATTGCCAGCAAGTGGAAAAAATGTAAGACCGATCTAATTTAATGAAATATGTTTCAAAGAGAATAAACGTGTAAACATTATAAGAATAAATAATGTAGACACGGACGTCGAAATCAGTGGGAGTGAGGCTTAACGCTTCGACGAAGTTTGCAAAACCTAAATATGTTTAATGGTAAACAGATATATAAAAACTGAGTTAAGATATACGATAAATAAAGTTTGCTTATTCACTACAGCTGTTTCATCAATCTGGTTCATTAGGTGGTAAGCATTTAGAAACACTTCTATCTTATAAACTAAAAAAAAATTACTTGTCTACTTGTTGGCGATCAACAGGCTAAATCTGGTAATATGGAAATATAGGAAATATATTGGTAATATTCAAACATAACTCAGCGCATAATTTATAGTATTTTTTTTTCAAAACATTTTCCAAGATTTTTAAGGTAAAAAGGATTTTTTAGCTAAAAAATGTAAATTGCTGGTTTTTACGAACCCGCAAAAAACAGACCGTTCCTAATTTTAGGTCTATTTCAAGTATCCTTATACAATCTTCGAAAAATTCAGTATCTAAGAATATATAAAATAATTTAGGAGAACATCGTCGAATCTGATTTGAATTGAACTTGAAATACATGAGAATTTTCAGATCAATAATCAGACACAAACCAATATACATGATCGTAATATCTGTTTATGTCAATATATGGAATGCGCTCGGCTGTTTGGAGATGTAAATTCTAACATATTTATAACAGTAATATTTTTAAAAAAATTTAAAATGGTCTGACTACGGTGTATGTAAGATGGGTGAAAAATTGTCCGTTATCTTTACAGCAGTTTATAAATAAAAAGCTTAAGCAATCATAAAATATGGCTATTTAAAGACCGTTTATCTGATTATCACGTGACACTACTTAATTTTTTCATATAGCTAAGAAGTGAACGAAAGCGCTTTGGACAATGCACAGTAGTGTTTCTACTTCCTCATTGCCAGGAAGTGGAAAAATGTAAGACCGATCTAATTTAATGAAATATGTTTCTAAACGTTTAAAAATAAATAATGTAGACACGAACGTCCAAATTAGAAACGATTCGAAGAAGTTTGCAAAACCTAAATATGTTTAATGGTAAACAGATATATAAAAACCTGAGTTAAGATATACGATAAATAAAGTTTGATTCGGGTTGTTTCATCAATCTGGTTCATTAGGTGGTAAGCATTTAGAAACACTTCTATCTTATAAACTAAAACTAGTGAATAGTTGTTATGGTCCGGTTCCTTGTACCACGGTGATACTCCTAGGTAGAACCAATAAAGAAGAACTCGGACACAGGTATGGAATAACACAGATATATTACAAACAGGAATATATACAGAGAAGTAGAAGTGTTAGTATGAACAATCAGGTTTAGTAGAGAGAACAATGTAGTCTCGACCAGTATCACTATTCCAATGTCTTGCAGTAATTGCCTAAACGCGAATCTGTTTCGGACTGCCTCTGACTCTACTACTGACCAACGATATTCAGTCACCCCCCACGAGGGTGTCATGTGGCACAAGGCCTTTTTAACGTGGTCTTTCCGAGCCCGTGGGCGCGGTCAAAAATATGCCCATTGAGCCCGTATAAACGGGTTCAGGGCCGGTTTTACCTCCCCAAAGGAGACTCCGCCCATCGGCGTAGCCTCCTTCGGGTTCCCCCCGCCCGTAGGAAGAGAGTTCAAACCAAGCAGCCGGTTCAAAAGTGAACTGCTGTCTGACGATATTCAGTCACGCCCCCACCCCACGAGGGGTGTCATGTGGCCTAAGGCCTTTTTAACGTGGGCAATTCCCAAGCCATTAGGCTCGGCCAAAAATAGCCCATTTAACCCGCATTTTTTACCTCCCCAAAGGCATTCCGCCCTTCGGCGTAGCCATTCGGGTTCCTCCCGCCCGTAGGAAGAGAGTTCAAACCAAAGTCGGTTTAAAAGTGAACTGCTGTCACGATATTCACCCCCCACGAGGGTGTCATGTAAACAAGGGGGGTATTCCCTGAGCCATTAGGCCGGCCAAAATTTTGAACCCGTATAAACCAGGGCCGAGCTACACCCCGAAGGAGACTCCGCCCTTCGGCGTAGCCTCCTTCGGGTTCCTCCCACCCGTAGGAAGAGAGTTCAAACCAAGCAGTCGGTTCAAAAGTGAACTGCTGTCTGACAATATTCAGTCACCCCCCACGAGGGTGTCATGTGGCACAAGGCCTTTTTAATATGGGCATTCCTGAGCCATTAGGCTCGGCCAAAATATTCATTTGAACCCGTATAAACGGGTTCAGGGCCGGTTTTACCTCCCGAAGGAGACTCCGCCCTTCGGCGTAGCCTCCTTCGGGTTCCTCCCGCCCGTAGGAAGAGAGT